TTCCACAAAAATAAAGCGAACACTATTAAATTGAAGAAACAGTCCATGTCCAAAAACCCCGGAGGAACACTGAAAAAACTCTGTGTTTTAAATTAGCATCTTTTGAACGAATTTGGAATGTCTAAGGTGGAAAAGAAACCAACTTTTGCATAAGGAAACAATTATAGAAAAAGAATTTTCTTACACTGTATTCATGTCTCCGCCAGCAATTGTGACGACATCATTTAACGGCAGCTAAGGAGAATGACGACACTATTTATTAGATGGCACATTCAACGAGCCAATGTGCCAAAATGCGGGTATAAACAATTATTGATTATTTAATATCGGAACCGAGATCATATAAGTTAATTGATTGATTTTCACACACTTTTGAAACACAAATTATATGCTTTTTTACTGCAGACAAGCTGTTGCCCCAAAACACAGCAGAAATCTTCCAATCAGGGCTGGCGACTATCCTTAGTTATGAGGTGCCATATTGAGGATAAGGAAGTGCCAAAATGTGCCAAATAGAAAAATAAAAGTGCCAAAAAAGGTGTCATTCCGTTTAATCATTCACATTTAGCAATAAAATAAAGCTACATTTTCCAAACAAAAGTGTAATGATAAAATAAGATAAACCAGTTGAATAGCTTTTAGAAAAATTAGAAAATTTTAGTTGAGAAAAAGCAGTGCACGCAAAGGATTTCACAAAAATGTATTGAAATCTAATTTTTTTTTGTAAAAGTGCCATTTTGGCGTAGCGTGACGTGGTGTGCGCCGGTCGCGCGGGCCGCCGCGAAGCTAAGGAAATTTAATGTTTGAAAGAGAAATAATGTCAATGGATTTTATTTCGTTTTTAAAAAGGTAATAATGTCAATTGACTTTATTTCGCACCAGGGTCCAGAAGAGAGTGACGATGAGCATGACGAAATGTATAGTTACAGTAGCGCTTCTGATTAAAATAACTACATGTCTGTTTTTTTCAAAAGTAAAAAAATAAATTTGTTAATATTTATTGAGTTCGCCGTATTACAGAAGGGGTATTCCATGAGTAAGTGAAACTTTGTGTCCAATTTTAGAGTAGCTTATTGAACATGGAATGCTTGATGATTCAATGCTCAATACCTGAAATTAACGTTTTTTCGAAAAAAAATTTAGTTATATTATTTTATTACACTGTAAATACACTCAAAACTTCAACATTAGAAAAGTAGTTGAATACGACAACATATTTTAATATAGAAGGCTCTGCAAAATCAAGTATTCACAAAGTTATTATTTTTTTGAAGGGGGGAATAAATGTCTCGATCTTTCTGCGCCCCGAAGAAGCAATATGGCATTGAAGAAAAATAGGCATTTAAATTATATAATAGGATAAAATCACTACGGTTTAGCATGTCCAACCCGTGACTAAAAAGTTTTAAACTTCGTATTGCTTAGTTACTACTTTAGGGAGTTTTCTATAATTTCATAACTAGAGTGTGTTTATAATAAGCAGCCCTATTTCATTTCTTTTATTATATTATAAGTACCTACTTAAGAGATTTTGAAACGTTTTATCGTGTCCCGCCCGTGACAATCTTTTATAATTTTTTTCTAATGATGCCTAACAATAAAAAAATAAGTTTAACGTTTCAAACCTATGTTTAATGCCACAAAACTCTGAAGTAAAGGTTGACTAAACACCATAATACTGTTGGTGGGCTAAGCGATGTAGTAAAAAATTTCGCGTGGCCAGCTCGAAAAGTCAAGATAAGCATTACTATTTTAGAGACGCCAGAGAATTCTATGATGAGGGTTGCTTAACAACAATTAAAAGTCAATATTAACAATTACCTGAAAAGTTCCAACCAAGAAAATCTAGAAGTTCGCGAAACTTATAAATTCAATCCAATAAATAGCCTTTAAGTGACAAAGATATACATATGTATCTGCTTACAAGTATTCTAATGCAGATAACTTTTCGGATTAGACATCGATACACAAGATCTTTTCTGACGTTCTATGGTTTTAAGGAATAGCTAAATTTGAGCATGATTTGTCCATGAAATCAGTTTCCAAAAATAACTCAACTCGAGCCACTCTTAAGCCGGTTACTCAATGTCTGGTCAACACTAACAGCAGGTTAGACATCTCTATCGACGTGATAACAGTAGTCGATATACATGTTTAGCCTGTAGTTAGTATTAGTCAGACATACATAGCTATTCTAAACAAACTTGAAAATCATTAAGGCACATTCGAAATTTCGTTGCAATCAAATGCACCGTGCAGAAGTGCATTAGGAAAATGCATATAAAATTTCATGCGTTTGCAAATAATCCTTTCTTCCATGCATTTTAATACATCAATCTGGCGACTTCTAGCTTTCGTTTGGTATAACTATTGCCCCTAAAATAGATCCTGGGGTCAGCAGTATATCGTGCGTCTTACAATGACTCCACTGTCATAAAAGTAGGTCAATTGATCTTGTATTTGACCTCTAACATTTATCATACCTAATCTCTTTGATATGGATCTCACTAGAAGCTTCCTTTCATGAAGAAAATCGTACGTGTCCCACCCGTGACAAAAGTTGTCCCACCCGTGACAGGAGAATTTTGAATTTTTTAATAATAAAAAAATAATTCTTATTATGGTTTGTGCTTTGTTGGGATTGCTGGTTCTTTTCTGTATAGTAAAACATCTAATCCAGATAGAAATGTTAAGTAAATTCACAGACTTTCCTTAAAATATATGTTCTCCAAAAAGCAGTGTCTTTTCTTTGTCCTACCCGTGACGGAAGAAACAGCTCAGAATTTTCCAATATAAAATCAAGTTGGAATATTTTTCGTATTTGGTAATAACTCGTATATTAGTGAACTAGGTGTAGCTTTATCAAAATGTAGAATTGCTTAGTACTTTATACTTAAATTAAAAAAGGAAAACTATTTTTGCTGTACAAATGTCCCACCCGTGACGATGGAATACCCCAGAAGCGAATTCTTCTCTCGCCGACTGAGGGCATATGTATGTTACAGGATAATTGTGACTGACTATTAGTTTTGTAATTACAATAATATTCTGCACATGTGAACTGAATTTCAGTTTTTATAAAATGCTTTCACGATGCTAAGATTTTGTGCAGCTTTAACGCGTGTCTGACGGGCTTTGTTGCATGACTTTAGTGACTGACTAATGTCGTACTACTTTTTAATCAATATCCTACTCGCAGTTAATTTTTCAGTTTTTATAAAGTAGTTGCAAGATTTAGAGTTTCTATATAATCAGCCCTATTCTGCATTTCGACTCGAATCGAAATTTTCTCCGTTTGGCAACTTTGGTATTCTGCGTTCCGTTTCCTTTCGATCAATCTTCGAAATTTACGATTATACCTATTCTACATTTCGATCGTAGTTCCGTTTTTCTAAGTTGCAAATTTGTTGACGGAGAACGTTTCAATTGTTATTTTCGTGGGTTTAAATAATAAAATTTTATAAAAAATTTAAGTCAAATATACTGTGCATGATTGTAAAAGTCATAATAAATGAATTTTCTCGATTTCTGTGTTTTCGCGAGCGGTAATACGGGCAATACGAAAAATTGGCTCAAATAATGGCAACCAAAAGGGATGTCGACGTTTTCAAAGTGGAAGTCCAGGCGTTTTTGTTTACATTATCTATAAATAAGACTGTGAAATGCACTGAATGCATTTTATTCTTTTTATATAAAATTAATAGATGTATGCACATAGATACATACATACATAAAATGTGAAGTTACATAAAAAAGATGCTTTTATTATTGCACTCGTTTTTAGTCAAAAGAGGTGCGTATGTTGCCTCGAATTCGATTTGCTATGGAAAGATAAGCTTTGTTCTTCCCCTCCTTCTGACGGCTTACAAAATGGGATTCATTTGCGTTCAAATCTTCCACTGTAGTAAATGCAAATTTTGTGGAGTGCTCAAACAACGTTTATAATTTCACTGACTTTAAGCGATGAGTAATACAGTTCAAGATGAATTCCTCTTGACTCTTCACTCATCTGAAAAAGATCAAACATGTCCCTAAATCTCCGCCTTTCAACTTCCGCATCAGCAATCTGGGACTCGTTCTTCTCTTCAAGCAATAACGCAGCGGCTATGGATTTCATTCTTATAATTATGTATCCACTTAAATTTTATTTTTAAATTACAGTGATGCTAGGTATATTTAGTTATTTTAAAATATTTAGAAACTTTAACTTCATATGCTGCTATAGTTTGGTGGCAAATATTTCTTTGTTTTGTTTCGATTTCACACATTCCTAGGCAAACAGCTGATTTCGAAAGATGTTTTCTCTCTTCCTCTTCTTCTTTCGTTTAGATTGTAACGCAGAATACCTAAGTTCGATTCCAGCGGAGCGGAATGCGGGAACGTAATCGAAATGCAGAATAGGGCTGAATATTATAGCGGCCCCGCGCCAAAACGCTAACGAAGTAGACTGACTGACGCCAGGCTATTTCTCTACACCACAAATGTGACATAATATAATTGTCGCTCGCCTCCCCGACTATAACATTTATGCCAGTAAAATTGGGGTGCTTAATGCGTTTAAGTTTTTATCTTCACTGTCTTGTTTTTTTTTCGATTGAAATTCGATGTTACTGATCGTTGCTAATTGTAGGCGTTTTCGCCGTTTGATTATAGTGAATCTTCATCTTTTGTTAAAGCGTTATCACTAAAGTATGAAGACCTGCAGCTAATACCATATGTTTGCATGACTGTTACTTGAACTGTAAAAAGAGCTGATTAAGAGAAAGGGGCGTTTTTCTTCGCCCATGAAATGTGTTTTTTTTTTTTTAATGAGAAAAGAGCCCCAGTAGAGACGAAATGGCATAGTGTGTACTAAATTCTTTCCGCGAAAGAAACAAATAATCTTTTACTGTGATAAAAAATTAAATTAATGTCAGTTAACACAAAACCACTTTTTTAATATTGATATAGATCTAATCTTTTAACCACAAATTCTCTCGTACTTTTGTAAATAATTTCAGGTTACACCATATCGAGAAGTTATCCAATGAGAAAGCCACGAACATTTTGGTAAGTGTTTTATTCCTTTAAAGTACGACTCCTAAGAAGAACTAATGTAGAAAGAAGATGATTACTAAAGCGGTTAATTTTATGCATTAAAATACGCTCTGAAGACTAAAATAAAATAAACCTTAAAAATGAATTTAAAAATTAGAATTATATAGGGGCACATTCATAGTCAAAATAAAGTCAACTCTAAAGTTACTTGTAAAAAAAGCAGGAACTAACTTGAGACACGACTTTATTTCGGCTTTGAATATCCCCAATAGGTTTTTCTATATTAATAAGATTGTAACTTATTTTAAAGGAGTTAACAATAAAATGTAGTTAGTTTCACATTTTCAAACAAACATATTTTTATAAATGAAGAATAAAACGACGTACATCAACAGATTTCATTGCACAACAGTTTTTGAAGCGGAAACTGCACTTAAAAAAAATTAACGATATCGTATATGTTTCAAACCAAAAAACATATGATTTGGCGCCAAACTATATTTTGTTTATTCGAATTAGTGATGCTCAAAACAGCGCCCGAAGGCGGAACTCCCAAAGCTCGCTGTAGATCTTATAATAGGGGTATTCTTGAAGTCTTGCAAAGCCCTTGCACGATGCAAGGATTGCACGGTTTGCAAACCTGTCCCATAGGAAACCCGGTTTTTACTATACAATCCGTGCACCGTGCAAGGTCTTTGCAAGACTTCAAGAATACCCCTAATATAAAAATGTATATGGACGCGCACGGAGTAAAAGCTTGATTTGAAACCCTTCCCAGCGGCGCTCAATAGGCAAAACACGAGTTTGTTTTTCAAAATCGTAGATCTTCGCTTAGAAAAGAGATAATGGAATGAAAATTTTTTATCGTGAAGATAAATGATCATATAATATAGGAAAACTATAGGGAAGTTACAACAACAATAATTTAACCCTCAAAATACCGTTCAAAATGTCACGTTTTTTTGAAATTTTGGATTTTGGCTCCCATTCCACTAGAAAACGCTATACTTAATACACCATTAGCATTGTTTCTGAAAGATTTCTCTTTATTTTATCTTAGGACTCGATTTTTGGGACATTGGATGCTGTACCCGAGTGGCCGGATTGGAAACCGAAAAGCTTCCTTTAAACTCTAATAACTCGTAAACTATTAGCTTTCACAAAAAAATGTATATAACAAAAATGGTTATACTCTGTCGATATCTTTCGAAAGTGCAGCATTTAACACTTTAATGCAGAGTCTGTCATATGGGAAATGCTTTTTAACCCTTTCAAGGCAGATGAAAAAGGTTATCAATATGCTTTTGAACGTGCTTTTTCTCATGTTGATGTAGATATTAATCGTAGAAAATTTTTCCATAGTAAAATAATAATAACAAAAAAATAAAAATATAAAAAATAAAAATAAAAAAAGTACGTTGAAAACATATTTAGCACCATTTTGCCTCTGCCTTGAAAGGGTTAAAAAGCGTCTCATATATGACAGACTCTGTATTAAAGGGTCAAATGCTGCACTTTTATAAAGATATCGACCAGTATACTCATTTTTGTTATATAAAATTTTGGTGAAAGCTGATAGTTTACGAGTTATTAGAGTTTCCAATCTGGTCACTCGGGCACAGCATCCAATGTCCCAAAAATTTAGTCATAAGATAAAGAAAAAAGAGAAATATTTCAGAAACAGTGCTAATGGTGTATTAAATGTAGTGCTTTCAAATAGAATGTGTGCCAAAATCCAAAATTTCAAAAAAAGTGAATCAAAAATTTTTCGTCTAAATTTGGAACTTTTACTCTGAATTTTTAGAATCATTTTCGGTGTGCAGCTTTCTACCCCATGGAATTTTAGTATAACCAACAATATGCAGCTGAGAACTCCATTTGGTTCAAAAGATATATTAGCCGCCGGTCTTTTGCATTTTTATTTTCATTTGACATTTATAAAAACTGGCGGTGATTTTTTAATTTTTGTTTGTACAATCATAGCGTGCAAATACAAGCCTGACCATTTTTCTTTTTTTTTAAAGAGACATTTAAAATGTTCAAATGTTCAAAAGCTCCTCAAGATTTCAGTAAAATGAGTTTTTAATGGAACACGATACATACTCACATATGTATATATGTATGTATATACGTATATAAAAAGTGTGCACTAAAGCGTTCGAAAATTAATGTAATAAAGAAGACTACACTTTTGGAAATAAAATCATAAAGCCAAGATAACTACGGAAAATAAAGCGAGAACAAAATTTTTTTCGTTTTTCAAACAAAGTACTTTAACAAAAATCTACCAAAATGAGAAAAATTTTACCAACGCAAATTTTTTCTACCAATTTTGGTAATAATTTCCAAAGTGGCAACTCTGGTCTTGCGAGCAGTGCCCTCATCACACCAGTGTTGCCACAAAAAAATTACCAAATTCCTCAAAAACAAATGAAAAATTTGGTACATTTGTTCTTTCGGCTCAAACAAAGTATCACCGTTATTTTTATGCCTTGGTTTGTATATAATATTGGTGCAACTATACCAGTGCTCAATCTGGTCCTCAAGTCAGTCCTACACATTTTTAAACTACTAAATATACGTTATACTGAAGCATTAGAAAATGGCTATATTAGTAATGCAGATATAATTTTTTTTTAATTGTGAAATTTATATGAACCTGAAGAATCTTTTAATTCCAAAACTTTTCCTATAATTTTCTGGATCTAATGAGGAATCAATTTGAATATCTTTATTATCGAACAATGGGTGTTCTCTCCATTCGTTACCGAGATTTTACAAGTTCAAAATAAGTTGAAAGTATAACGATGGAATGAAAATAATTGTCGATATCATTTTGAATATTTAGCAGCAGATGCAAATATGCTTAAAGCGAAAAACACCACACAAGCGGCTTGACAAACCACGCGAAATATCCCCTTGCTTAAAGCTAATATTTATGTTGCGTATGGAGGTGTTTGCCTTCCTCTTGTTCCCGTTTGAAATGTGAACAAAAATCAAAATTTTTTGCTTTTCTGGCCGCCATGTTGACGTTTGATTAAACCGCTTACCTTGTGTGTGGTAAAATCGCCTCATTCGCAACGGAATTTCACCGAATGAGGACGCAAGAGAGAAAAATCGAAGAAAACCAAACTCTTTTACATTGTGAGGTTTGAGTTAGGGATGGCAAAGTCGACTTCGACTTTCGACCAAAATCGACTTTTTACTCCTGAAAATCGAATTTTAGTGATCGACTTTTAGTTTATGGAAGTCGACTGAAGTCGACTTTTCACTTTCGACTCTCGACTTTTTTTGATTTATTTGCATATAAAAACTGATCTTCTAACAAGGGCGCGGAGTGCTTTTTGGTCGTATTTAAAAAAATTGCCAATAAAACTTAAGTGAAATTTGAAAAGTGTGGTAGATAAATGAATTTTAATGACAGTACAACAACATCGTCAAATCATTTAAGAGCAGCGCATAAAATTACTATGTGAAAACAAATTCCTCAAAATTTGTTAATCGTTTGTCTCCACAACCTTCAGTTAATAATGAGTTAAGATAAACATAGGTATTTATTTTAAAAATTTCATCCAAGAAAGTTTTTCTACAGACAGTCTTTGGTTCGAATTTGACCAATCCGTAAGGTACAACATTTTAAACACCGCTAAAAACGTTGCTGGTAGGATTCCAGTTAATATGCGACATTAGTCGTGTGGATAGTCCCAATCCACTAGCTGTCTGGGCTACTCCCATATTTATCCATGCTTATAAAGTGGCACTATATTTCTACCAATACCCGCCAATTCTGCTCCATCGGAAGGCCACATTTTCAAAAAGTTTTCCGTAATTACCAAATATCAATTCAAAAAATTTTTAGAATTTTTTTTGTGAAAATTTAAAAATTTTTAAATTATTTTTCAAAAATATAATTTTTAAAAACCCTCACAACCAACATTTTCATGCTGTATAGCTACGGTGACCATAAATATGGATTCAAAATGAAGGACAATTTTTCAAAAATATGCCTACATATATTTACGTAGTATAAAAATATCAAAAGAGTATTTATGATTCTAAATTCTTAATACATTTTAAACTTTAAAATTGAATCACGTTTTCTTCATTGATATTAATCTTTTTTTACATGAATATTTATAAAAGTATAGTAAAACATATTATAATTACAATAGCTTACACGAGAAGTTAAAATCTTTAAAAGATTATTTTATAGGCAAATTTTGAGTCGTTCAAAACGAAAACAAATACCCCCCTTTTTTTTTGTTTTTTTAGTACTTTTCGCAGTTATTTGTCAAAAATCGACGTCATGAATCGACGTAAACGACGAGTTACAAAGTGCCCTTTACAAAAAAAAATAATTTGTGCAGATTGCGCTCCATAGCATTTACATTTCTGATCCGATTTTCATTATCTTTGGCTCAAAGTTTACGAATTTTTTAAATAATGAAAAAAAATAATCAAATGAATCTGCGTAATTGATTGAAAATCTCACTTTTTTCGCCTGTAGCACTAATAATTTTGATTGAAGTCGCCACAAGTTATATATTTTGGTAAGAAGCACATCAATACCCTTCGAGCTTACGTTAATTTGGAGATTTTTTCATGAGATATTGCAGAAAAGCTAAGAAAAGTAACAAAAAACACTTTTTTGAAAAAATCCATCCATTGTCCGATAATTTTAAAATAACGAATAAAATGCAGGACAAATGCAGGACACTTGGAAAAAATCAGTACATTTTCAGGTTTTTCAGGTTTGAAAAACTACGCAGGACCGACCTTTGAAAAACAGTACGGTCCTGCAAAAAACAGAACGGATGGTCACCGTATGTATAGCTGGAACAATTTTCAAAATTTTAAAAAATCCTTTAGTGTCAGTTTTTTTTTTTAACTAGCATTGAATTTCACTAAATTACAGATTATTCTAAAGACCACTAGTAAATCATGATATTTTTGGCGTATTCTGACTCTTATATTTATACCTAATATATGAGTTAAATGCAGAGTATAGTTAA